ATTCAGGAGAGCAGGACGCTTCGCGAAGCCGGGCGGCGTGCGAGCCAGCAAAACGGCCGCAAACAGCCGGCAAACGCCACAAACATTCAGCTCGTGGCACGAATTGACTTCTTAAGCATCAGAGAAGTCAGTACACCACCCGATTCAACAACCACCACTTAGTCAGTGGCGGTACATTTTGCACCTGATTTGGCGGCGGAAAAGTTAAAGATCTGCGTCGCTAATGGTGACAAGTTGTGTCAGGCGCATTCGATTCAGATCATGTGGAATCTGGATGCGGAGATACTTGAAAAATCTTGCACATTTCAAAATCGCCACCAAGTTTTTGGTTCGCTAGATAACATTGTTGCTCACATCAAGTTAGTAGACAAATGATTTTTTCAGAGTGATGCGAAATTTGAAAGATGACTTCCGATTTCGTGGCATATTGTAAGCCATATCGTAGATTTACCTTGTTACCGAGTTATTCTTGAACTTGGTCATATTTTAAAGTGTCCAAGTCTTCAGCTTCGTGAATTTTTAAACTGATCTACCTTTAATTAAATTTGTCCAATTGGTGTCTTCCATGAAAGCCGTCTCTCCGATTCAAATGGACCGCACACATTCCCATTGGCTCATCGCTATCGATTTTCATGGTCGACAAGATCTTAAATGAAGCAAATTTTTGGCAACGTTAACGAAATAGTTGCATTTTTAAAATGCATTTTTGTCTTTGATTTCGCCAGCAAATTTCACCAACATTTATGCCCTGCAAAGCAGAATGTCCGCTGGAGAAATTGGACAAAAAGTAGTTTCCAAAACTCCAGATTAAAACGAATTTTTTTCCTGACGGAAAAGCCCTAATTCAAGATGTTATCCACCGGTGTCAGATTGTGGTGTTTTGACATTTTAAGTTAATTACGCGGTCTTAATAGACCACAGGGCTTGTCACGTCTCCGGTGATCTCCCCTGACAACACAGCAAACAAGCACGCATAATCGATAATCGGACTAGGTGTTCAAATGGCATTTTTTTGACAGATAAATCAATAATGGAGTGTCGTGTTCAATACCTTCGATTTTGTTAGTCTTGTCAGCCCTTGGGACTGCAGTGCCCGGATATTGACTCGATGATTGGACGAGATCTGGGAACCAATAAAAAAGCCTTTCTTGGTGTTGTGTGCGTTTTGAAATGTTCAGCAAATCGAATCGGATTCGCCCTACTTCATTAAAACATACAAAAAGATCCACTTGAAGTTGATTTTCAGGATAAAGTTACATCGTCTGAATGTTAACGATATCTGTGAACTAGGTGTTTCGGACCACTGATGGCAATTAGGGCGATGCGTAAGGGCGCAGACATATTGGACGACGCCGTTCTCAGCCAATCCTTTGTCTCTCTACGTTCTAATGGTATGCGAGGAAGACATGCACCATAATTTTGACCTCAATGTTCACCGTTCCCCCCTGATCTCCCTTGTTTGTAAATTTTGCCGTATTCTGAGACACGATGTTTATTTTAACAAGACACATCGTTCATTTCGAATCGCGAGCTTGTGGTGTACATCAATGTTCAGGATCTCCTATTGGATGAGAGTCAACACACGAAGCATTAAAAAGAGGTCACTCAGTCTGGCCAATCCCAGACAAGATCAGGAACCAGGCACTTTTTGCTCTGATGTGATTGGATTATCTATTTTTTTGGACCCATTGGACAACTGTCACTGTGTGGGATGTTTGACTGACCCAAATATGCTTCTATTCACTTCCGCAGCCAATGAACACCCCCGATATCGGACAGTTAGGTAACTTATCGATTTCTAATCATGGTGAGTGTAGTAAGCTTGAGTCTCAGATCGTGCCATCAACGCTTTTTTGGTAATTAAGACATTTGTGCCTTCAACTGGAACGAAAATCGTTCATGTTTTTCATGCTCCAGTGGTCATTTTTCGCTCGATCAGTGCAATCAATCTTTCCTTACGCCAAATGCTTTTAATTCTGAGTACAGTATACCCACCTAGTCTCTTTCATCACCCCCCATCGGTACCTCTGATATGCATCAATCGATCCCTCGTCTTGACGTGTTCGAGTTTATGATCAAAAGTGAAAAAATTTGGCAAAAAGTCGTGGAATAACGAGTTTCTTTTGACTCGATCGATGCCGTATTAGTTAGCACACGAAAGATTAACAATGCTGCCAAGGAAGTTTAAAGAATTCACGACCACCCAACGTCGACACTGTGAGATACCCTCAAAAGCGAACAAACATTTTTTTGGAAAAAAAACCGGGAATGGATACGGGGAATAATTTTCCAGGTAATGCAATTAAGCAAATTTTAAAAGCTAATTTTTGTAAAACCACTTTGAAATTTACTGTGAAGTAAACGTGACAAGAAATCGACTGGGTAATTTGTCAGAATCATTTTGCTGCTTCATTGCTGTTCGGTGTCTCATAAATGGGCATGGTGATGTAGCAGCTGCTAGTTCTTCGCAAGTTCGTGACGTTTTATTGAGAAATTCGAGAACAGCTCTTTTCAAGTTAATGGCACTCCGACCAAATATTTCACACGTCCCCTACACCACTTGTTCCGTAATTTTCCATAACTGCTTTCTAACTTGCTGGAAATTTATGGAATACTCTGCTTGTAGAAGCTGCGGGGTTTTAGTTTAATGGCTAAAAAATATGCTGTCAGATCTCAGTCCCACCAATCACAATCAGACCTTGTGACCTTGGGCAAATGTGGCTCACATGCACACACTGCCACTCGTTTCCCGGTTACATTACGGATAATAGGGGACAGCTTTTATAGGTTGACTACAAACTAAAAGCGTCCATCCGCTTCTGATTGGCTATTGAACCACACACGTATACCGGATTGGCTAAGCTCGATTTTTGGCTGCTAAGTGTATGAAACTGAATACTCCCATATCCAGAATCGGGTCGGCAGAGTTGCAATAAACCTTCAACCTGAAAAAATGTCATATTTTAGCTGAAATTGTGCATGAAAATAAAACGCTCACATCCGATTGGTTGATTCTTTTCACGCGAGCATCAATGCCACTCCTTTAAAACCGATTAGCAAGTGAGTTCATCTGATGGATTACGAGAGAGATAACCATGTCGGAAGTGGTTAGAATTGCAGGACAGGTAAAAATTTTCAGCATCGAGAATGAGAAACCTAGGCGTCAGGAGGCAGGCAGACAACGGGCGTCCTGCGACAGATTCGAAAAACCCACCAGTGTCGCACCCATGAAATTCACCAATCCAACAGGTGCAAAGGTGTCTTCGAAAAACGCGCCGACCAACTACAGGCCCACAGAATGTGTCCTCACCAAGGGAAATTGCTATGGCATCAGGATTCGGATGCCTGAGCATGCCAAATGCATCCAACTCCAACCAATCGTCGTCTCGACACGACCGAACGGTCCTCAAGAAGTGCGTTCACCCCAGCTCTATCGAGTTACTCCAACGAGTAGGACCACGCCACCGCCGCCTGCCACCTGGGGCGACAGTAGATACGGCAACTTCATCGACCCTGAAAGAGATATCACAGTGGAGGTGGTGGATGACTGCGGTCAGACGAAAGTGGAGAGCGGATGGAACATTCCAAATGACAAATTTAGTGTGTAAGATTTTCAAACCCTCAATCCATCTTTTTCAAAAAGGCAACATCGAGTTATCGTGTTTATATGACCCTCACAACGTGTAAGAAAGCAGGCATTCTGTGCTGGACCACTTAAATTAGTGCGTTCAACTGCAAGTTGTTGATGAGAGAATGACAGAGATGAAAAGAATCGGCGAAAAATATTTGCTGGAAGCCAAATCATGTGCTCGCTGTATTAACCACACAGTTGCTTTCTGCAAACTTGTCACTTCTGCGGTTGTCTGTGGTAGTATTTTTGCAATGATCGATTGCTTTTATCGTAGCCTTTGGATACGCCGAAAATGATGGGAAGGTACGAGAGCAATAGGCGCGGTATCAGTTACCGTGGGAAATGCGTGACCTTCTACTCACGCTGGTGATCGATGCCCACGTGACTTCTCTGCACTTAATCCAATTCACAGCTAGTTTATTGATTTTGGTAATATCGCCCAGCCTTTTTTTACCCCATGGACACTGATGTTCGTTATTGGTTGCTTGCCTAAAATTGTTGGCTTCTTTTTTCATTTAGTAATCCTGGACAAAATATCGAGGTACCGCGCACGGAAAAAAAGCGCATGCGCGGTGAGTTTGAGTTTGTTTTAAAAATAAGATATCCGTGGCACCAACTTTAAACCAGATTAATCATTTTATTTTAAATCGCAACCTGCAACTGCTACTGCCCAATTTGTAAGTATTTATTCACAAAATTTCTTTTTTTACAGTTACGGGAACAATCGTAGTGAAAGGCTACAAATAACGAAGATACATTTGTGCTGGTGCGACTTGATTTATTTTTAGCTTTTCAGTTATTTGTTATTAACTGAAAAAAGATATAATTAATAATCTTATTCACACTGAAAATGTTTGTTTTAAAGGAAGGGAAAACAAGCATGGCAGCCGTGTTAGCGCTTAAAATAATGTTTACGTTGTTAAACAGCTTCTAAAACACGTTTAAACTGAAACGAGTGGGATTCTTCATTCCGTTGCGTATATGTCTGACTAACAAATGAGCATGATTCAAAATTCAGATAATCTTGGACACCACCATCGTGCAGTTAACTTAAAAGCCTCGGCGGTTGCCATAGAGAGCCTTACAAGTGTAAATTCAACATAATTTGGAATGTATTTAAACAAAAAATCGATTTTTGCTACACGAAACGCGAAGAATGAAGTGACTAAGTGGAAATTAAATGAAGTTTTGGTGGAAACAAATGCTGACAAGATGTCGAAGGCCGAAAGTGTGCCAGTTGTTTGTAATAGCCATCTTGAGCGCAATATTTTCCCAATTATCTGCTCAAATTTTCGATTGATTCTCGATAAAATCAGTAACTACCACTGTTAAATGGTGAAGAATTTGTAAGCTGCATTTCAATGCTTAAAACTCCATTTTAGAGAGAGAGAGAGCGCGCGCGTAAGTTAACGGTTCATCTTCGTCTAGCAAACATATCTATCTGCGTCGATGATTTTTGGATTTCCTGGTTACATTCGGAGGCCATTTTAAAGCAATTTTGATGGGAAAAAGAACAGTTATTTGACTAAGTAACCTTGTGAAGGGAATTTCACAATCTTGCTCTGCCACAAATTGCTTATTAATCTACCTAACTTTTGTTCAATTGCCGGGGTTGTGGTTGCATCAACAACGTTCTGAAAATTGCGGAGTCGTTGTCCGTGGTGTGTAAAAGAGTTTAATAACCCCTTGAATACGGTCAAAGTTCGATTCGCATAGCCAAAACGGACCAAATCGCCAGCTACTTGGAGGCCATTCGTGAAGTTTCTAGCCTTCTTCCACGAGAAAAATATGCGCCAAATTTGTTTTAGACATCGTCCGTCGTTTTATTATCTCGGCTGCTGTCGGTTTTCTAAAAGCTTTGAACCCACCCAACGATCTTGCATAATTGTGTTTGAGGTCTCGTGATGTGGGCAGAGATTAACATGGCAGTTTTTAGATTAACCTTGAAAAACAAATCGAAATGAGGTAACGTTAGAGAAAATAATCCCCACTTATACTTAATTAAGTAGCTTGAAATGAGTGAATAATACTCAGAGCCTAAATGGTGTAAATCTGACAAACAGATCAGGTTGACACTGACGGTAGTTATCTACAAGCCAATGAAGTGACAAACTTTAAATTCATTGCAAGACTTTTATTGATGATCAAAATCGATGGGACTTTAAACAAAAATTTTAAAGATAGTGAGAACCGCGTAGTATAGACAGTTAAAGTTATTAAAAAATCACCTTACAAAAAATTTAGCTTGTTGAAAAGTTCAACGCATATTACCTAGCAAATCGTCATGGTTGATTAAAAGCGCAATCTTAATTGCAGCATAATTGATTATTTGATTTGTCCTACATCTGCTAGTTTAGAGTTTGACTCAGCACAACACCGAACTCATTTATCACATCTTCAAGGGCCTAATACGGTAAGTGTACCTTTTAGATATGCGTAAGATGTTGAATCTACAAGTAAAATTCGATCTGGCGTGGAAATTCCTTGCAAAAATCAGTATTTACAAGCAGAATTTTGTATTGTACGATTGACAGACCGGCAGGGAGACTGTTTTTGGATTATATGTTATAAATTCAAACAAAGACCAAGAAATTTGACAAGAATTTCAGGAGACCCAACAGCATTGCAATTGAGTGCCAAGATATGGCAATGAAAATCGTTGGTTAAATACAATTTTTTGTATGTTAATAAACGCGACTAGCCAATAACTTTGAAGCAGGGATTATGTTTGCCAAATGTATTTCAAAACCGAAAAAATATGAAAATTTAAGCTAAAATGGTATGCCAAATTCTTCGACTTTAAACAATTAGATGTCACATTTCTTGCGATCACTTTGATTAATCAACGATAATGAGTCGGTAATTATCAAAGCAAGACAAGGTCCTTTGCAAGAAAGTTTGCTTAAGTTATTAAACAAAGCGACGATGTGGAAGTCCATGTTCCCTGCCAAACAATCTCAAATAACGCCATCGTTCGCTAGGTAATAAACAGAGTAACAGCACTACACCAATATATAAATGATGTCAGGTCGCAGTTTGGTTTCACACAAGTTCTGATGAGATTTACAACTTTAAAATAAACGTGTCCCTAATAAATATTAATATTGCAACACTTGTCTGGTTAGAATAATTGTTGAAAATGCGAAAGATTGATGACTACAATTTTAGTCTTGAGTGTTGTGAATGCTGGCATCATATACAATTTAAATTAAATCCCTAAAAGTGCGATATTTACTTCCATTAAATCTGCCAAATATACAAAAGCGAATTCGGAAGCTGAGCAAAAGTACAAATTTTGTTCAGTAGCTGATTTTCGTAAATAACATTTGAAGCTTTTAACTAAGAACTTTTACTATTTCGGATGCAATTTTCGCACATTTTTCACTTTCACAAAATCATGCAGTATTTACCCTACCGAATCTTTTGGAAGTAAATTGTTGCTTATGTGGGTATGCTTTTACATACATAATCGGCATTAATCAAGAGAATGTTACAGCATCCAATCACTTGTTTTTGTTATTAACTATAATTGATTAGCATAAATTAAAGCGTATTAATTAATAATCACCTTTTGATGATTATTTTGTTTGACCTTCTCAATAATCTCGATATGTTCACTGAACGACTTTGAATTTTTCCAAAACTCAGTGTGTCCGTTGTTCAGGTGGCTGTGATAATTTCAATGTGAGTTGTGTCTTATATTTTTAGATTTTGTACTTTATTTTCCTATCTTTTTTGTTGTTATGAACCACGCGATTCCAAGACGCTAATTATTATGAGCTTTAAATAATGTTTCCATGATTGTGTTGGCGACGATTCCGATTTTTAAAAATCAAAATTCTCTCTTCTGTATGTTTTGAGTAACGTTAAATGTCATTTGTTGTAACTTGTCTTGGTTTCGGGCGTTGTTGATGCATTTTCGTAATAAGCCATAGTGTTTTGTGCTTATGATTAACACCGACCCCGTGTTTTATGTAAGTGTGTGCAATTTTAAGTAGTCCCTTGCACTGTGGTTTTTAGACCACATAAAATTAGTATTTCTGTTGGTACACTTGTTAATACCGCAGGTAATATTTTCTGTTTTTTTGAAGATGAAACCCCGGAAACCGCTCTTCGTAGTTCTGGAGGGTACTGATCGCGTGGGTAAATCAACCCAAGCCCAATTACTCGCAGATGCCTTCTCTAATATGTACGGCAACCAAACCTACCTCATTCGCTTTCCTGACCGGACTACCACAATCGGTGAAAGTTTGAACAATTATCTCTCAGGAAAGGTCGATATAAATCCCCACGCCGTCCATCTTCTCTTTACTGCCAACAGGTTCGTTTCACCACCCAATCTCCCTCTATAGTGCTAGAGGAACTATTTGTAGTCGTTCTGTTAAGCAAAGTTGTTCTTGGTTAATGCGAAATCTGACGTTATCGGGTCAATTTCACCTCTGTAAATTGCTAGTTTGTTCTACGTAGATGGGAACGAGCAGCCGAAATCGACGAGGCTCTCGCACAGGGCCGGTGCGTCGTAGCCGATCGCTACAGCTACTCCGGCATCGTCTATACCGCCTCGAAGGAGCATCCAAACCCGCCCACCTGGGAGTGGTGCCTGTCCAGCGAGGAAGGTCTGCCACCACCCGACCTCATTCTCTGCCTCCTGCCCGAGCACATCGACGATCTGGCGCTGCGTGGCGGCTTCGGCGACGAACGCTTCGAGAGCGCCTGTTTCCAGACCCGCGTCCTCTGCAACTACCGCCGCCTGGCCAGATCCATCGAAGCTCGCAAGCGGAACGGAGCGGAGCGCGTGCCTGTGTGGGAGTGGGTCATTGTGGGCCGCCTCTCCGTTGAGGAGGTCCACAAAATGATATTGCAAAAGATTTCTGACCACAACCCCGTCACCAGGCAACAACCATAGATTTTCTTACACCGATTTTATCCGCCTATTTTGTGCTATATGTTTAAAATTGATACCAAAAACTTTTATACCATATGTAATATGTCTTGCATGGTAGCGTGGCAGGTTTTGACGCGAATGTTCGTGCTTTTTGCTTGAACCCATTTCCACGAAATGCATTAATGGTGATGATTAGTCTTCCGTTAAAAGTACTAGCTTTCTTTGGAGTAAATTATTACCCAAAGCGTTTATTTGGGCTGATAACGTGGAACCTGAAAGGACTAGCATGTAATGTTGGATACAGACTTTTCGTCAGATCAAAGTTGAAAAAGACATGCTAGAATCAATCTGGATTTTGTGTTGGCTACGTTTGGAGGTTAGTCCAACAAAACCTGAATCAGAGGGAATGCTCACGACGTTACTGTCTACTGTTCGATGCGGTTCTACGGACTACGTTAGATTCCTTCAAAGCAGCTCATTACACATCAACTGGTTAGTTCTACCAAGTTGACAGTACGTCCATACTACGGTGGCAAATATTGGTTGGTTGTGGTAGGCCAACTCCATTCAATTCCTGCCTGACCAATGTGTCGAGCCAGTTCACAAATCGTGGCCACTTTACTGGTCTTGAATTGTTATGTGTGTGTGTTACTACAACCTTCCATCCAATGCAATGAATGCCTCGATTCGATCACATTCAACTGCAGTAGCTCGATCGTGATGACGTTGGTCTACTTTGGGTGTAACGTCTTCACGATGGAAATGTTCGAAGCGATTCTGATAAGGTGGTTCTGTGAATCAGTCAGCACCGTTGACGTGAGGTGTCGCGTAGTGACCATCGGCAGGGTCATCTGGGGCACAGAGGTGATCATTTTCTACCTCACCTACCTAAATTCACCACAAGCCTACAGCTGCTATCAATGCAACGTGAAATCCACCATGTGCTGTGTGTGGATTTCGAGATGGCCTTCTTATTTGTCCTGGATTGTGGGACCCATGTTGAAGTTGATCAAAACTCTTCCGCTTTCTCGTTTCCCCTGTTGAAATGTCTGATGTCATTGTGACCAGAGTTTACAGCCAATGAGGCTCAGTGCATGTGTCAAGAGTGAGCTGGATTCAGGAGATCACTCTGCCGAGTTATTCACTTGTGGCCAATGAGTGACGTTCACGACTTGTTCGACCAATGACTGCTTTCCCTTGACCCATGGAATTTGACATTCGCATCTACGAGAGTTTCATGGATGCTGGACCGTCAAAAGCAATCACAAATCGACTCTATTACCTGTTGTTGACTGATAGACGTCTCGCTGACCGGCGCTTTCAAACAATGCTTGACTATTTGGTGGACAAATGGGCGTGTCACTTATTGCTTTCTCAGTTCTCCAGCCAATCAAATCCCTGCAACAATTGGCCCACTTCGTCACACTAAAGGGCAATTTGGTCGTGGTAAAAACAGCTGTAGACTTCTTTGTCATCTTAAAATGGAATCCCTCAATCAACCGATATTAAACTTGCCTAAACGGGTGCATCTGAGCATGATCGGCACCTGTAACTCACTCTTAATTGTCATTATTTCCCACCAATAGGCTCTTCCCTACAAAAACGCCCGTGCACAATCATTAAATGCCATCAACTAGCCGGTGAATATGCGATTGCTCCTCTACTCCCCCGGTGTTATTCGGCAAGGTGAGGCGAGTGTGTGGTAGCCTGCTCACTGCCAAAATCACTGATGTGTCAAATATGTGTTTTCCGGCGAGGTGACGCGCCGATTCTACTCTATCGGCTAGAAAATTTAAAATTGCGCCCACCCACCTGGCCGCAACAGTAAAACAATGGCCGATGGGTCACATGGTGGAGCCCGATTTTCCCTCAAATGTAGAAGCATGTTTCGCACCGCTAATTTACTAAAACGTGTCTGTCTGGAGAGGAGAAATGCCGTTGCCACAGCAACAGTTGCCAAAACCGTTCATTGGCTTGTTGAGGAGGCTACAGAGATAGCGATTAGTAAACTGGCATCAGCGGTATTTAATGATCTGCAGTGCAAATACTGTGTTGAATGCGATTGAGGGTATTTGTGATGTACACAAGCACTGTGTCACGTTTGTACAATGTAGACTTTAGGTAAATACAATGATAATTACACGATAGTACCGCGGAGTCATCGATGATTGTAATCCACGCTTGAACGGCCTGAAAAAGTAAAAGCCGAAAATTAGTATTTGGAATCGCACTATCAGAGAACCAATAGGCTTGTCCCCTCTCGGTGCAAAATCGCGCAATCTCAGCCAAAGGATGTGTGACAGGCCTAAATGCGCACAAAAAGGTGTGACCTTGAAGGTGAACCAATGGGGTTCGTTCTTCCTTCTAAGAAATGTTGCTGCCTCAAAACTACGACAATTCACCTGAAGTTGGCCGTGACTTGGACGGTCGCGAGTTGGGCGTTCTGTCACCGCTGCGCACATCGATAGGGTCCATTGAATTAGTGATTCGTTTGTGTTCGGGAGTTCGCAGTAATTTCGGACGGCTGTTGAAGGCTTTCTGGTACTCTGGATGACTCTCCACAGCCATTGGTGGTTTTCTCTTGCCATCCGCAGTTAGTTTGGGGTCCTTGCGTATGATTGGCTGGTGGGTGTCTGCTTAAAATTCAACGTTGAACGGTATATAGACTTATCGCATAATCTACATTGGGTTAGACCAAAAGTGTTGTTTTCGCCTATCCAACTTGAAATTTACATGTAGACTCGAGGTATGTAATAATGTAAGGCGCTCGCATAAAGTTTTAGCTACTACATTAATTTTAGTAGGCATTAATTTACCACAATATGATGGCAAATTTTGTTGTCGTTACCTGGTTGCTGCGAGGCAATCCGGCCTTTAGTGGGTGTCTCCTCAACAACCTGCGAGGACCTGCTTGGAGTGCGTCTATAACAACAACAAGAGAAGCATGTATCGATGTTAAGCCCTGCACTTGAACGCAAACTGGGTCAGTTTAAAAAGTATACTTGCCTGGGAACCAAACTAAATGGCTTCGCCCAAGTTCACATGAAAGCCTCTTCATGTTAGTTAATCAGCAATTATTGCAAATAAATTGGTGAAATTGGCAACTAAATTAGACTCTAGTGGGGTGTATGGATTGAGGATAAAATACTTGGTATTTGATCCAATTTTGCGCAATACTTGAACACTGCAGTCGGAAGTGCATATAAAGCAGACTAAGGCAGACAAAATACGAAAGAATGGTGAAGGGAAAAGCAGTCATTGGTCGAGCAAGTCGTGAACTTCGCTCATTGGCCTCTTGAGTTCAGCTCACTGGTGACGCGTGCTTCGAACCTCATTGGCTGGAAGTTA